AAAGCGTGGACAGTTTGTACAGGCAATTTCAATTTAGAAGGCCGTTTTAATCTTTTCACGGCCCAGTTTCCAGAAAGAAACAATAAATAACTCTGAAATTTTGTTTACTTATTGCTGAAGATATATTATTATAATATATTATTGTGCCTCCTGCTTTCTAGATAAAAAGAGGGAGGAAGGACTGAAACTAGTCTCGTGCGAGGGTGGAGAGGACGTCCCCCCGCACCAGTCGACGTCGAGGTGTCTTAGTCGGGGGACGTTTTTGTCCCCGACCCTTCGTCGTTTATTCTCGCTTTAACTCCTACCGATTTTACCGTACTAGACAAACCATAAAACTTTCGGTCTTTGGCATATTTATCATGGAAATATATATACCCGGGATGTTATATAGTAGCAATTTATATCGTACTATCACAGGAAGATTAAACCTATTTGGTGCCACTCGGAGCTCTCACAGTCAAATTGTAGAGGGACCCTGTCAGAAGAGCCATCTTTATTATGAAATACTCCATCCCGTTGTTTCCTTTTCATTAAATGTAAGGTCTGTTGAGAGGAGTATAACCTCGAAGTTCCATCATTTTGACGTCTGTTGAGTCTCGAACCTTGTTTAATACGTCCGAAACAAAGTGACCACCGTGCCCGATCAGAACGACCGAAGCCGAAGGTACATTTTCGATAACAGAGTGGGGATTTGGATTCACAGTACCACATTTATGTTATGTTTACCCTTTGATTTCACCATTTTATACTTAAGTCCAGCAGGCGAGTCGTTCGAGTCCGACACTTTCTCAGGACTTCCTAAAAAGAATCAGTCTCAGTGCCCGTATTTTCGTATCTCTCACACTAGTTAAGGTTGTTTCCTGGAATTTGTACAAGAGGTACTTTAGTAAGAGGGTGACTAGTGACGAAGTTCAGGTCCGGTTAGACTACGTCATTGTGTGCTTCTTATACACTTGACACTGGGAGATACAAAAAACTGAAACTGCAGCACGGTCCCCTCGTTCCTTGGAAGAGGCGGAGAGGTGGGTATTTGTCATCTGCTGGTGGGCCATCCGGAGAGAATTACAGTGCTTACCTAGACGGGGAGGGATTGCATTGAATTACAGCAGCGGGAGCAAACACTTGCCTCGGGGAGGGAGAAAAAGAGCCACAGCGGAGAATAAACAGAAGGGCAACCATGGCAACCATATCTATGATGGCAACCATGAGCGGGAAGTCTTCTTCACTGCTTTTGTGGCAGACTACAGCGCCACTTACAGGCCTGGCATATGTACTACAGCATCTCCAGCGCTTTCGAGCGACAATGGCCGGCCGTGGCCCAACCCCACATTCCCCTGATAGGTGGAGAATTGGCCAATAGCCGTAGCGCCACCATCCTGACGTCAGGACAGTGTTCAAATCTGGATCAGTTTTTATCAGATCCGTTGCAGCCCCTTTTTTAGAGATTTGGGTATGGAGGAAAATAGAGAGGGTTGTGTTTTCTGACACTTGGTGAGTTCCCTGGAACACCGGGGACACATATTCATGTATAAAAGACGTACAAAAGTGCATTTTGCATGATAGGTCCCCTTTAAATTATGTTGTTAGACGTGGACATGGAGTACATGCTCAAAAACTTTTGAATTAGTGCTCACTCCCTGAAAGTGGAAATTGAGAAACCATGAAAAAGTTTGGCTAGCCAATTAAATATTTTCTCCCTCTCGTCCCTCTGGTATACTCTGGTAAAAAGCCATCACAGACCAGCTGGCTGTGTAAACATGTGCTTTTTGGATTTCACAGTAAACTGAATTTGAGCTCACCAAAAGTTACTTCTCCCTGTCCATCGAAGCTGCCAATACACAGAGTTACTACGTGAGAGTATATACTTTACTTTATAAATGACACTTGTATATTATACTTGTATTTTTTCATTCCATTATTTTATTTGCCTTCTAACATATTTTATTCAATATATTATTTTTTAATGGAATTGTTGAATATGTAATCAGCACTCCCGTTTCTTGTACAGTAGCCAGGTACCGGATATGATATGTATTTCTATTTTAAGAGATATAATAAGAGTTTGCCAATTATCTTCTTCCTGTTGTGGATGGTTTGCCTCTGCCCTTTCTAACGTTACTTATGCTCTAAATACAAGTGAGTATTTATATATATATATATATATATAAAATAGTTTTAGACTAGTATTTGTTTATCAGAACAACGATTTGCAGCACATATTTGTTTGAAGCACTTCAAAGACAAAAAAAACTAGAAATTAATCACAGTAAGAAGTGAAGTGCCTTAATAACAGGTGACTTTTCTACCAGGGTTTTAATACACTATCACTGTCTTACAGTCTTTAAGTTCACATATAAATCAGTACTTTGAAGAACAAAAGAAAACACAAAGCTATGTAAAGACCCAAGCCCGTTTGTTATGCTCTGTTTCTATCAAAGAGAATTATTTAAGACTATAACATGAAAGTTCACGCTCGTCTTAGGTTTTTTTTCAGATCTTCAACTACAGACTTTGCTGATTTGACACAGTGGAAGGAGAAGACTCCTTGTTCAGTTGGGTGATTTGAAACAACAGTAATTTGCCACCCTGGACGAAATGATTTTCAAGTGACCAAACACATTATTAGTATCACTTGTAATTTGGCTTATTGTATAATTAGGTAATTACACAGTGTAGAAAAGGCAGATAAACATTTCCCTTTGCTTTTGTGATGCGTGAAGTGTATTCAGCCAAGTAATCCATATAATTAGAGATCAGAAGGTTGAACATAATTAGTGACTAATTTGTTTGTGCTAAATATATAAAGTATATACAGATTTAAGGCATATAACTTTTAAATAAATGTCAATGTATCATTTAAAAAGTTACTAAATAAAAGTGAAGAGGTCTTGTTTAGCTCTTTTATATTCTACAATAAAGAGGGAAAAAAGTAGTCTTGACACTGCTGACATGATATTCAAATGCACACATCATGGGCTGCTTCTTATGTGTTCAAGGTAAATGCATAGCCACTATTTTCTTAGCTGATAACAACTCAGAATATAGCTCTTACGTTCGTATTTAAATAGAGAAATGTAAATGTTTGCATATATATATATATATTCTATTTGATAAGTGTCATCTGTACATGGGTTAGATTTAAAGGCTAGGGCAGGGAAGACAATAAAATGAGGGAATGTTAGATGCAAATGATATAGTCAGCGATAATGTACAATTTGAGATAAGAACACTCTACATAAAAGTCCCAGGACATAAATCCAACGAGGTCCCCAAGCAGTGGGACACATTGTTCATAATGTGCTAATGATAAGCATGAGAATATGAATCTGAGAGCAGAGAGCTTTCCAAGATGAACTTTCCCAAATGCCTGGAAGATAAGTCTTTGATGAGGACACCAAAAACGAGAGCTTCTACCCTTATAAAAACACGACAGATCATTACCTACCGTGTGCAGCCTCCGCATTTATCTGCAAGTGGGCCCATGATGAGGTGAGTTCCACCTACAGCGAGCTGACTTTGAAGTGATTTGTGGTAACTCTGGTTTATTAAGGCCAAAGCTGTTTAAATATTGGATGTCATAGAATCCTTTTTTCTCAGGTTTAAATATCAGTGTTGTATAATAGGGGGTTGGAATAGTGAAATATTGATGGAAATGACGACACATAATTAATTAAACGGAGAGCATTTGTACGATTCAGGTGGTGAAACCTGAGCCACACGCATGAGGTGAAATAAGTATTTAGATCCTTTGCTAACTACCAAAATACAACAATGTAAAGATACTACATTCAAAATCATACACCTTGTAAATATATAACTTTGATCAATAAAATGCACTGAAAGATTCCAAGTCAACTTTCTGCAGAAAATGGCCCCCTTATAGTGATTTATTATCACATATTATCGGTTGTTAATATTAAAGCATTTGTGTTTTAGAAAGTGGTTTACTGTGATAAATGGAAGAGAAAAGACGAAAATGTTTCTCATCATATTTGAATGACTTATTTGTAGAGATGTCCCGATCCGATCACGTGATCGGGGATCGGAGCCGATCAAGTGATTTTCAAAAGATCGGAATCGGGAGGAAAAAAATCCGGGATCGGGATTTTTTTTTTTATTTTTAAATACTTTTTAAAAAATGTTGTATTCAATGTTACAAAACAAAAATGACCATGTTCAAGTCTTAAAGTCATCCTGAGGCCTTAGTTTTGGTTTCAAATTACACAACATCATGTATGTGTTGCTTCTTTGGGGCTTGTTTTCATAGACCTGGTTGCTTATTTCTCTCAAATCTGGCAACAGAGTGGGCAGGGCGCAGTGTCTAATTGTAGCAGTAAGCTAACGAGTACTGAAAGCTTTATTTTGTTTTGATCCAATGCTGCACAACTGAACTGATCTGATCTAATGCTGCTGTGAAAAAAAGAAGCTATATCCATGTTGGATAGAATATCCAATTTAAATAAAAAAATAACCTTAAGGGACAACTTGAATGCTTGGGGCGTGAGTTTGGTTTTCACCGCTCGCACTCCCTCACTCTCTCGCTCCCATGGTAATTCTCATCAGCTTCTCCGCAGCGGTACGGGCCGATATGGGTTTTATCGTGGTTCACCACCGCAGATAATACTAATAATTATATCCTTAGACCACGATCGAACGGATTTATATTGCCAATAATTGTCGTTCCATCATACAAAGTAAGACAAGGTTTGTGTTCCCGCAGCCTCCTCTCGAGGAGAGACAAGATGTCTTGTTACTACTACCGAGTCACTCCATTTGCTTCTGGAGCTTAATCATTCTTTGTACAAATAGATTGTTAATAATCGAATATCATAACGTATATCGTATGTCTACCCCGAGGATGTGTTTGATTATGGTTTATACTACTAATACTGTTGTGAAACTCTTATGAGGACAATCCATGCACTGAGTGACTATACTCCTGTGAGTTAACGTGTTGGGCCTCTGCTTTTCCAAACTTCTTTTATTTGAAATTACCTAGTTTTTTTGTTTTGCTTGGTGAGAAATTGCTCCCTCACTGTTTTTGCCAGTGTTTTTGTTTTGCGAGAGTAGCCTCCTATAATGTTTTCCATGAACCAGAGAGATACCGACGAACCTAGACTGAAGAACCGTACGGCTGGACTGTTGGTCTGTTCCCTCTTGTCCTGTGTTAGATTCTCATTCACCCTTGTCCAACCTTTTGTTAGTCCCCGCCCGGTCTGCGACTGCTACCGCCCTTGTTGTCTTGGGTCCTTCATTTCCGTCGGACCTGTTACTCTGTTCCTCATGTTCTATTTTGTCCTGCACTTGTTTGGTTTTGTTTGAACTTACACCTGTTTATGTATTGTTTGGATGTATTAACTGTCTGTGTGTATATGGAACTATAAAGGGAGAATTAATACTTCGTTAACGTTCTTAAGACAAAATTTCTTCTGCGATTGTTTTATTTACTTTGGAGACCTCTCGAAACTAAATCCGTCCAAAAAAGATTGGTTCGTAAAAGTTCATAGTTCTTATTAACTGGATGTAACCTAACTAACTGACTTGAACTACTCCGTTATATGGAGTTGGAGATGGATCTGTTTTGGTTTGGGTCTTATGGCATATAACAAGACATACAACCGGGAGGCCCCTTTTTTTACACCTGTGGGTATCTGGGTTCTGGGGAACCTGCATGATGGATAACAATAAAAATTTCCTCAGTTTTACCTCCAGGTTGGAGGTGGAAGAAATCAAACTGAAGTATCAAAAGCTGAGCGACCTGTAATCATGCAAAAAAATTTCTTTCTTATTATTGGACTACTAACGGTTTGAAATCAGTAACACTAGGAAACGCTTTTTCGCACAGAGTATATGTCCGGTGAAGAGTACGAATGTATGACAAGCTACGACAATCTGTAAGTTGCTGTTATCAGGTTTATTCAGCCCCTAACCAGCGCTAGTGGAAAAAACGAGGGCTAGGCTAAGCTAGTAGGGACCGTAAACGGTTAAACGGCTATGGCTAAAAAGGGCTAGGCTAGAATACGTTACCGTAACGTCTCCTT